CATGTGATTTATCCAATTGCCGAGACAGCAGTTCTCTTGAACAGCTGCGTCAATCCGGGAATTTACGTGTTGAGAAATCGAGGAATCAGACGGAGTCTTCGTGAAGTCTTAAGTACATGTAAGTTAGGCAGTTAGTCTGAGCAACCTAGCACTGTGCCTATCACAGATATGTCAACAAAAGGGATAAAGACAACCTTAATTCTCAGCCTCTCAAGTTGCATGTTAAACCATAAAGAAACAACTACATCAATTAAAATACAAGTAAATCGTTCAACTTTCAAGGCGATACTCATAAAACCATTGTGAATATGGTATTGCGATGACGAAAGTTGTTAAGATGAAAACTTTTTTTTGCACCTCTTTAAAGAGAAAATCTGTCTCAGTTAGAATCAGTCTGTGATAACCGACTGGCGAACAGATTTCAAAGGAACGTAGCATGATTTAACAATGAATTTTGTTCTCGTGACCAGCACCGATGGACGCAGCCTTCCTGTCCGTCATGTTTGTACAGCTAAGTCTTGTCTCTGTACAAACATCTTTCCCCGCGGATTTTCTCCCGTTTGGTTACACGGCTATGTTAAGACGAAAGGTGTTACTCTATCTCACCACTGGACGTCCCAGGTTGAAGATNGACATGCTCCAACAAAGCTTGTTCAACCTGTTTAGAATACACACATGTACAGGTATGCAAAGTAAGCCAGGAGAACATGTGATCCAAATCCAAGTTCTCCTAACAATAAAGGCATTGTCAAGCAGGCATGTGATGAGAATATAGCAAGCCATCCACTACTGTATCTGAAAAAGTCTTTCAAGACATGCTTGCCACACATTCTCAGATCAACGACTGTTAACATTAAAACAAGTGCACCACAATTTGTATGGAGAGCTAAAATATTTCTAAATACAGCATTGAGAGTGGGAAGTCTTTTAGTTACCATTTTTGTCTGCACATGTGTGCACTCCTGGTCTTGACCATTTGTGCCACACCTTGCCAGTCAATACCATGAAAAACAGACTCCCCCTCAGCAGTATTGGTTACAAAATGAACAGCTTCATAAAGTCGCTTGAACTCATCATCTGTCCATTTTCCTTCCTGTTTCAGTTTACCACCTAGTAATAAATCAAATGCAATCCCGAGATACATGGTATTACACAAGACATTTTAAGTAAGGCACACTGAAATCAAATAAATAAAAGTTTTTTTTTCCAATTAGACACCTAGGAGAAAAGGAAAATACTATTCTGGCAGTAAATGGAAATTTGTAGGTAAATTGTTAGAGAGGGTAAAATTGGTCATTTGAATAGTATGCTAAACACTCACATGCTGAATCTCAAACAGGATTAACTTAGTATACATGTCCATATTTTACATTTTGTAGCTGAGGGTTTTGACACTGCCAATTTAAAAAAAGTTCTCATTGTTAATCCTGTCACATTTAAATGCACTTTTTGGAGCACCATAACAAAATTTTTGTTACAAGAATGCAAATACCATTTGCTTGTTTATGGGGTGAATTGTTTCAATTGATCATCTGTGCTAGAGCAGTTTGCAGTTTGTGCCAAATGTTATTTGCTTTCAATTGGGTTTCATTACAATGCTACACACCTAGCTCATGTCACTTTGTTATCCAGTCAAAAGTAAAAACAAATTCAATTGTGACTCTCTCACAAATACATGCTTTTGGTATTAGCTTTGCGTTTTGATTGGTTCACTGTATTGTCTGATTAGCCAGAGTGCTAACTTTACTTTTGGTTTCACAATACTCAGTTGCAAACTGCCCTTTGGTAACTACTAAATTAAATGTACTGTAAACAATGACTTCAGCAAACATTGCCAGCTAGTAGAGGGAGCAGAGGAGTCTTACATGTATTTGACCACATTTCTAGGCATTCATTCCTGGACAAGAACTCTGTTAATGAAAGAGCACCCTTCCCAAGGGTTTATGCATTGCCGGTTTCCTCCCCAAGGGCCAACGAACAATGACGTCTTACATGTAGCTACATGTTTGCATTCCAGGGCTCTTGCATAGTACATTTCTCTGAAGAAGACCACAGAAGGCGGTCGAAAGTTCAGTTTTAACATTTTGTAGATCTGTTTTAAACTCCTTGTTTAGAACTTTAATCTAAGTATTGTGTGATCATAATATGTGTCCGTTGAAACTCTATCCATGAGACGATAGCCCATCACAGCAGTGACTGTGGGTATACACAGTCTAGTGCCTCTTCTGGTACACTTCACTTCCAAGGGTCATTTGCATTTTAGACTACTCAGCTTCCTGTACACATGGTTTGTATTTCCACTAACCTTTGGGAGGTAGTTTTGAAAGTTTGCGGTTTACAGACATACGACTTCTGTCCATCAACTGGCCAATAGTAACCCAATCTGTGCCATGTATTGAATGCAGCCTATAGAATGAACAAAATGCACATCAAATCAATATTATTGTCAACACATTACCTATCAGCAGTGTGAATCTCAAGCAATTGTCAATGGGGGCCTTATTGATGTGTCATTGACTAGAGGAAATGACATGGCTAGGGTTTTCCTTAATTTACTAGTTTAACTAACACTCAATCAGGAGATTAACATACTAGTTACATGTAACACATACAGACTTTGGGATCAAGGAAATGTATTTCAGGGGAAAATGTACTAGCTCCAAGATATTGTTGATCTTCTTAAATTTATTGCCATAAAAATCTACTGTAACTCTACATGAACATGACCATACAATGTAAAGTATATTGTAATTTACTCTTTGGTTAATAACATCAGTGCATGTATATACAAGCATGTACCTTTTCAGCTCTTTGATCTCGTCCTCAGTGTACCTGTAAAAGGATAACACAAAAATAACACTATAATATTAATACAGTCCTGTAAATACAGACTGCCACAAATTGGAAAGCAACACTTTTTCTCAATTTGAAAATTAATGGTAGTCGCTGAGTACTGTACACAACAGGTTGAAAGAACTGCAAGATCCACAAGGCCCTGTTTTTACTTTTAGCTAAATGCACCTATCAGTCCCATGGTTATTTGAATGCAATCTTACCTTACCTATTCTTGCAAATCAATCTACATGTAACTGTACATATTTGTATCACTTTATTTCTAAATAGCAGTTTGATGAATAACATACTCTCTTCCTGTACATTTACTCCCTTACATTTATGATTTCAATCTCATTTGCTCATTTCTATAACCTTAAAGATAGGCTGTGATCAGACAAAGCAGCATGGTGACTAAGTACTCTTACTACAGTCAACTGAGCACCAAATTCTCCACCATTTGTCTTTAAAGATTATTGACTGGAGGTGAAATTACAGTGTAGTAACACTATTTAATTTATAGTTTAAATGTTTCCTTTTGACTCAGAAAATTTCAAGGATTAATAAATTTAACTGATAAAAATAAGTCACTCAAAAATCATGGACCGAAACATAACCCAATGCTATAGCCCTAATAAATTACAGCTTCAAATACACAGTTCCCTAAAGGTTGAGTTTAGAATTAAAGACATGTGGACAATGCACTGACTTCACAGAAGATGAATGAAACAAATAAGGGCTGATCTGTGATATTATCATAGTACCAAAATTTCTAAGCACTAACTTTCCAACATAATTGGTCTTGTCATAAATTCTTGTTGCACATTTGTAGATTGAGAACAATTCCCTATGAATTCCTTTTCCTGCAAAACAGTTCATGAGCATTAGCCATGAGATGANTTCCCTTTGAATTCCTTTTCCTGCAAAACAGTTCATGAGCATTAGCCATGAGATGACATGTAAAGAAGGCAAAATGTATCACGTCTGGAACACATTAACAAACTCCTACATGTATATCAAAACTTTACAAAAGTCAGTCAACAATTGGTGGCCCAAAATGTATATTAGAAGCTACTTGTAAAAGATATCTTCATGTGTCCCAAACGCATACAGTACTTGCTACATGTTTGTCCTCCTTAATTGTGCTCTATGAGTACATAGCTTCCACCTTTTGCTACATTTTTCCTATGTACAAAGCCTAATCATTCTTGCCTACAGGACGTTACTGTAAGAGTAGTAATGAGAGTTTGTTTGACTAACCAAGTTCTTTAAAAAATTCATTGTCCCGAGCAAAGCGCTTCCAATTCTTGCATTCCACTGCATCCATACTTGAATGAAACAGAAGTGGATCGGGGTCTGACAGATTGTAACGCTAGTCAGGAATAAAAAGCAAATAAAAATCCATTTTCGTACCTGTATTTGAATGTTAATTGAATTTCCATGTACTGTGCATGAAGATAATCTATGAGTAGACAAATTTCAGTTAAATATTTGACCAGCAACAAGAAAGATGTGTGATACAGAATGCCTCGCCATCAACATTAATCTACAATCATACACACCAAAGCAACAGTACAGTACTGAGTATATACACTGTACATGCTTGGAGTGTGACACCTTTGATATTGAGTGAGTTCTCTGATTTACAACGGTAAAGTACTGTCAACAGCATTTTTGTATTTCCATGAAGCACATCTTGGAACTGAGACCAGGATAAATCTTTGAAAATGTAGAAAATTCTCACAAGTTTGTCTTAAGAAGGGTTTGGATCATCTTCAAAAATCCTGGAAATTTAATAATCTCACCCCTGGAGCTTAAAAAAAGGTGAGCAGGTATATAGTTACATGTATGCACAAAGTTCAGTTAGTCAGAAAAACATTACTATATCATTGTACCTCTAGAAAAAGAGCCATATTGAATTTTAACAAATCATGCTCCAGATTAGACCACTTTCCTTTCTTTACTCTGATTCCTGCAAAAGTAAATTTAAATGACTGCCATTTTTAGCAACAAACATGAAATGAAATGGGAAAGCTGTCATTTCCTTTCAAGTATACATACATGGAATTGCGGTCGTTTCGCCAACGAGTCGTTTCGCCAACGACTCGTTCGCCAACGTCTTAGGTCGATTCGCCAACGTCCTA